GTTAAGAATAGTCTTAAGCTTTGACTTAAGTGTCAAAAAAATTCTTAGTAAAAAGTAGGACTTTTCTAAGAGTAGGAGCCTTTTATAAAGACGCTAAAAGCAACTTTCAGTAAAGTCTAAGACTGATTCTTATGTGTTGACTGAGGTGACACTTAAGTGTTGTGAACTAAGGACTACAATGATGTCAACACAAAATGGCTGACCTCAACCTCTGAATCAGCCAATAGTGAGCCTGCTCATGTAAAGTCACAGCAGCACAACACCAATCATTTAATGTAACTACAATAAAATCATTTAATTAAGACACTGAAATATTATTATAAAATATTAAAAAACATTTTTTTAAATGCTTTGCATTGTGCAAAATTATCACAAATTATTACTGATGCTTCGTTTTCTATTGGTATGTCTCCTCGTTTACAGTTGAAGCAATAATGTGAACATGAGTTCCATCAGTGAAATTATGAACACATGCAAAAACAAGAGGACCAATGAAATATTAATAACTTATGTTGTAGTCAATGTGCCAATGTTGCCAGCTTTGTGATTTTGTCACTAGATTCAGTGACTTCCTCACGCCTTTAGAGATTTTTTCAAAAGCCTAGCAACAAAATCAATTTCTTGGACAAAGCTTATCTACATTCCGAGGCTCTCCCATGACGTCATGAAGGCGAGTTCACTGATCTATATAAATGTAGATCAGTAAACTTGCCTTTTTCGTATTTTGATGGTTTAAGTGAAATGTGGGGTCATAAAAAATCCACACAGCACTTTTGGCCACTGTTGTGTTTGGTGGGGTTAGTGTCACAATATGTAAGACCCTGCTTACTGTGTCATAACAGATGAATTGCTGCTTTTTTCCAATTTTCCAGCCAAAAAAATGTAATTACTACTTTCATTTCTGCAGTTAGAGCATTGACTTGTAGAGTGGAAGAGGTTATCTATCCAACAGTTACAATCACCCAATCAGAGTACGGGAGAATAAGGGAGTCATAGAACACACTTAAAAGCACCATCACAAAAAGTCTTGAAGAGAAAAATCCTCATTCACTCCTTTTGGAAACAGACTTTTCAAATAAAAGATACAAAAAGCTTCCCGCTTCTTTCTTATACAGTCAATATTACCACCTTTTATATTCTGTTTAACCTTTTTAATTCCAATAAAGAAAAAAGATGATATTTTATGGTTACATTCGCAAAAATGTCTTACAAAAGGACTCTTTAAATCCTGTCTATTTATTGCGCTTCTGTGTTCTGTGAATCCTTTCTTTTAATGAACTAGATGTTTCACCAACATAAATTTTGTTACATAGACATTGAATTATATAAATCAGATTATTTGTCTTCCCTGTTATAAACGCCTAATAAAAATAGGATGATTAAAAAGCTTGACATTTTTTTGTGAATTCACAGTTAACACAACTGCCACAGAAAGTAAATGAAGAATACATTTAAAAAAAGCAAAATTAAAAATAAACGTTTATACTGGCTCAAGCAAAAAAGGAGAAGAAGTAGAAGAATAATTTGCACTTTCTCCACGGTCCCTTACTTCTCACTTTGCCAAACGGAAATACTCACATTGCATGGCTTTTGCAGGCGGTGGAAATAGTGGAAGAAAAAACGTTATCTAGTTCATCCAGACGACTTTCTTTCTTCAGATAAACAAAACTTTTAAAAACTTTTTTTAGTTAAACAAGACCATCAGTCTATATAATGAAAGTAGATAATAAAGTAGGCTAACTTAAAAGTTGATGTTTCAAAAACCACACAAAGTGAGCATGGTGTCTTAAAAGGTTTTACACATAAACAACTGAACACGACTTATAAAAATACATTTTAATTAATGTCTCACATGAGACAAAGCCTCTAAACTAATAATGCTTCTGCTAAAATGTTCAAGTCAATACTGTACAATACTGTAATATTCTGTTTTCATACTTTACTTAAAATACTTACAATACCCAGGTTAAATAAACATGAGAAACTACAGGCAGAGGTGTAAAATACTGTTGATTTTATTGTTTACTTCGATGACTTTCTTACAGTTCAGAGTAACAGCAGCAGGTAAATAGAGGAATATTTAGGTTAATAAACAGTGCTGATGAAAAACAGAAAAAATATAAAAGGCGAGTGTCCAAAATTGAACCTGAAACCTTAAATGCGAAAATAACCTGGGAATTATTGCAATTCTGCAAAATGAGTTGTTTTTTTAACAAAAGACAATACATTCATTCCTTTTTATTAAAGGATAATAAGCAACAACATTTTATTTTTCCTGAAGCTCAGCATAACTATCATATCATGGCTAAAAAACAGGGTCAGCTGTGATACGTCAGTGTGGTATTTTACTGTTTTAACCCTTCACTTTGTGCAACAAATTTGTTTGCATAGTAAATAAAAGTTTTGTAGCTGACATGCACAAACAGCACAGCACAGTCTCTGTGATATACATATTCCTATGGGGTCGGGCACTCATAATTCATATTTACAGAGTAATAAGCCCACTATAGTAAATTCATGCAGCAAAGCAATCGTTTCCAGTAGGGTTAGCAGCCCTGACAGCTGAGCCATATAATAGAGTCTGAATAATATGTCTCGAAAATCTGACCATGTGTACAATTACAATTGAGTGGCAAAGTTAAACAGATGAAACAAGGTAGGACTGATCAGGTTATTGCATGTGTTTCAGGTGATCAGTTACGATAACACTACCTCACCCCATCAGGGGAAACAATATCACAGTAAAGTGCTGTATTTAACATCCCAAACTTACATTTTTACTTTAGATCTTTGGCTTAGAGTCACCGTCTCATTCAACGTGGGTGTTGAGGTACAGCATCTATAGATGTGTTCACTCACAGCCCCATGTCAGAGCAAAAGACCAACAAATAACAGACAAATCAATACACAGTATGCCAGATACACACACACAATTAAACATACAGCATTTATATGAAATTAACATTACTATAATAACGTATTTTGAATAAACGTTTGCTAAAAATGCAAGTTTAGTCACAAAAATTTGTAAAAATTGGCACTAAATGCGCTCCGTAAAAAACAAAACAAAGCACAAGGCAACAAAAATATTTAATTAGAAAGAGTAAAATTATATTAGAATTCACCTTAAAGACATAATTCACCCAAAAATGAAAATTCTGTCATCATTTACCCTTTTGACTTTTTCTAAGTTATTTTGTATGGTGGAAACACAAATTAAGAGTTTGTAACCACAACATATTAATTCATTCCCTCTTGACCACGACCGAACTAAATTAAAATGTTCTAAATGACGTAACTAAACGAGGGAACCAATTAATAAAATACGGCCACAAACTAATAAGTTGTGGGAATTAATTCTTAATTCATAGCCACGATATCTATTTTTGATTCCCCATGTCAGGTGTGGTGCGCCGTAATTTTGCCAATATACACAGGACAGGTTATTAGGAAAACTGCAGTTATTCCTCAAACCATTAGCGCAGAGCCAAAGAACAATTAACGTGACTACCAATCCTCCTCATGTACGTAACATGCATTTTTATGCTTCAAGCTCTAGACTAGAGGGCCAAAACTTAGCTAGTCTCAGCCTCAGACGTCATCTAATATTGAACTGCACACTGGTCTGTTATTGTAGGGACATTGACATTACATTTTCACGCCCCTACACATGACACTAAACAAAATGAACTGTGATCGGTTGCTTTACATGTCAATCAGACAATCTCTTCGGTGGTGCTTGGCCAATGAAAGCTGCTATGGAATCCAGACCTTCTGCCGTCAGTCTGAAGGTCATGCTGTGAGACAAAGGTTAGCTTACATAAGTGTTTAATGTTTGTTTAAATGAATGATGTCTGATTCTTGAACAATCATTCATTATTAACAGCCAGGAATCATTTGAAATGATGCACAATATCGAACCGAATCAAACTTTAGTTCCAGGTTGATGGTGCAAGATGCACAGCCCAAGTAGCACACAAGAACCGTATGAGCCAGTTCAACTAAATGATCAACTAAATGTTTTTGTTTTTTAATTGGTTCATTGAAATGAACTTTCCAAAAGAACTGGTTCGCTGAAATGATTCGGTTTTTCATTTAGTGTGAACTTTAATACTAAAAGTGACAGGATATTTTGCCTCCGATCTTGAAAATAAAAGGAATCAAGAATGTTCGAACTGTGAATTAAAACAAGTGCATTTTATAAAAAGATTGTATCAATTACTCATTATATATTTGGAATAATGATAAATTAGTTTAATATATAGGTTAAAATAGATGGTATACTTATCCAGAGAGAAAGCCCACCCACACACTTTTCTGATTGGCTTTTTGATCGATTTTGTCACGTCATGTAGCCGTGTCATGTCTGGTATAGACAAATTGCTTGTTGATATATATACTGTTAGTTTCACGCTGCTTTTTAAAAAAAAAATTATTTTGACATTACTAGACCTTGTCGTCATTGGCGTAGAGTTGCCAAAATATTCTACTTGACATCTTTAGTGTTCCACTGAAGAAAGAAAGCCACACAGTATTGGAAAAACATGAAAGTATAAACTAAATGACAGAATTTTCATTTTTGCACGAGCTATTCCCATAGATGTCTCTGGTCATTTATATGTAGAATTAAATCTATCCCATAAATTCAACTCAACATGTCTCTCTAAGGCTAAGCCATGCAGCTATCAATTACTTCCGTCAAATTAGCTATCAAGAAATGAAAGGGGGTCTGAGATTGTGTGGGTAATATTTATGCTCTTCAAAGGTTGTTATGCTGTATTCTGCTGAATATGGGCATTAGCCATGCGAAACCTTCAAGGCCAGGCTGTTGTGATGTCATGCTTCTGTAATGTAAGAATGATCTGATTGGCTGCTAGGGTAGAGGGAGATATGTCAATAAAGATGGCTCAGTGAGAGACGGTGGAGCTTATAAAAGGGGGTGGAGCTACATAACTAAGGTATTGTTAGTTGAATTCTTTACTATTATGTGTAACATGTTCAAGTATAACTAATGCCAGAAAAGAGCAGCAAAAACAGCAGCCCAGCTGAATAGAGAAGCTCTGGAGGTCGGAGCGTTCCTTCTGTCCACTAGATGGCAGATGCATTTGGATCGTATCCTCGCCGTTTGACGTTCCTTGTTGTTTGGAAGAAGAGGAAAGAGAAAATTTATTGGGAAACAAAACACTAATCATCATAATTGAGACTCTGTTTCAGCTCCATGGTATTCAAATAAGAGAAATTAAATTCTACACATGCTCTGCAATGGCTGAAATGCGTTGCTTACTGAAGTTGTTAACACACTGTGGAACTGAAGCAGAACGATCTTCACTAAGAGAACAGCACTGTCGCCATGCCTTACATCAGCGGACAAGGACAAGGGCGATTGTCTGGCAATGGGCTATTTCAGTGGAAATGGACTGCTTCGAGAAGAACAGACCACACTCAGTGAACATGTGATCTGTTGATGGGGTGTAGGTCTTAAGGGCGTTCACACTGACAGCAATTATGCAACTTGAAATCCGAAATTTTCATAAGACTTGAAGATTTTAAGAGGCATGAGTAATGATATAACAAGTGTCCAAGATAAAGAAAAGACACTACACCAAGAAGGCACAACTATAACTATATAGGTTATATGTTTGGATACCTTTCTATGCCTTCTGTGTATATGCCAATGTTTGTTCATATAGCACCGTGGTAATTTGAGGCATGACAGTTCATGTCACTTGACTTGACTTTAATTTAGTTTAAAATGGATTGACTCCATGATATTATGTGCTGTAATTATCAAGTAAAAAGTAATTTAGTTAACATTTGTTAACATTAGTTAAACACATTATCAATCATGGACTAACAATGAAAAATACACATAGGCTATAGCATTATTAATCTTAGTTCATGTGAAATTAAACAAGTTGTATCTGTTACTATGAATTAATGGACCTGGGTTAACACAAACTAACATTGAGAAAATGTGTTTTTATTAACTATCAAATAGTTAATAAGTAACTGTTAGTGTATTGCTCATTGTTAGTTAATATCACCAATGCTTTAACGTTAACTAATGGAAATTTAAAGTCCCCCTGTAGTGAAAATCAAAGTTTTATCAGTCATTATCCGTGTATGCCATTGTTTTGCGTTTACTACATTTCAGTGAATCAGGAGGCGTTGGCTGGTGTGAGTGAGTGGAGGCGGGGCTAATTTGCATATTCATAGATCAGCGTATAGTAAATGAGGCAGGGGTGTTGAGTTACATTCAAGCTATTTTAAGGCATGAGAAAATTATTTTCACAAGAAAAAACATTTAAATATGTCATTTTGATTATCAAAGATAAGTTTTAAGGGATAAAATATTTGACTACAGGGGGACTTTAAGTGATAAAACATTTTCCTCACACTTTGAATACATGTGAGTGCACACATTGCAATAACCATTATGCTGTTTTAAAAAGTCATAAATGTCTTTGTTTTGTTTTTTTTTGGTTGCACCGCATGACATTTTACAACATGAGCTAACCTTGCCTTGTCATAAAAAAGGTTAACTTATCTGATATTTTCCCAGACTTACTGACACTGAACAGTCATGAGGGTCTGCAAGGGTCCTCTCTATGATATCATTTAATTAATTTTAATTTTAAATTAATTAAAAACACGCTCATCGTAGAAAATGTGTATTTAAGTCAATGTATGTATGAATTGCATTCATTGTATTTTTTATATATTTATTTATAGATCTGGACAAACAAATGAGCGCCATGTCATAGACCCAACTATCAAAGGGAGTAAATCGAACATGATCCACCTCTGATACAGTCAATGCAGAAACATCTAGCTTTACTGCTAATTAGAGTGAACCGCTGTCAGTGTGAACGGCCCTTCAGATGGCATCATTGATCATGAAATGATGCGTTTCCTGCACACCCCCACGCAGATGGGATAACTGTGAGAGAGAGTGAAATGCCAGCATTTCTGGATGTGGTCATGCAGACCAGTGCCAGTGAGAGCTGTCTGTACCAGGTGTGTTTGCCAGCCAGCACCTCCGCAAGGAGACAGGAAGTGAAGAGCACATGTCATGTCACAAAGGCCTCTTGAGTTTACACAGGACTGAAAGAGAGCGTAAGGGTTATGATGGTGTCTCGCCACACTCCTCTGTTACTTACGCCAACACACTTACTGCACTTAAACAATAGCTCACTCAAAAAAGAAAATTCAGTCATCATTTACTCATCCTCCAAACCTGGATGACTTTCTTTTTGCCCGTCAAGCAATACTGATCCAAAACTCAAATTTTGAAACTGCGAATATTAAGTCTGATTTATAATTTTGTCTACATAGTGCAAACTGTCCCTCCAGTTCCTTTCACGTCTGACAGCTAACTGAACCCATCAGAAATGTGACCCAATGCCACATTGGATGCATCTCAATCATAAGGTAAAGGATTGTAATCAAATCACTAAACGGTTCTACACAATCTTCACTGTGTAGAAAAGAGCACTCTGGCATTCTGCTAGACATCTGCTTGTGCTTCACAGATGAAAGAAATCATACAACAAGAGGGTGAGTAAATGCTGACAGGATTTTCATTTTGGGGTGAAAAAGCCCTTTAAAACAGTTCATTGTAGAAGGTTAAGAAACCAGTCAAAACGTATGCATAGATATCTATACTAGATCCCGCATTAGACTGCTCCAGACACCTCCAAGCGTCCACCGTCTTGGAACGATGCTTGGAGATGCTGTTCATCAGTCACATTAAAAAGCAATTTTCAAAAATTGCACAGGATCCCTTGTGAAAAAGAAGTGCATTTATTTGTATTGAATGTGCATTTTAGTGTACTTCAAATCCTAAAAATATATTTGTAAAATACAGTATTTGCAGATAATATAATATTCATGAAATAAAAGGCCACTTATGACTATATTTCTTCATAATCTTTAAAAAAAAAATGCAGTCAAATTAAAAGTTTTAAAGTACATTTTAAATAATTGGTTTAATAATCTTTTGTCACGCTTTAAAGAAGTACACTTATTTTGATGCCTAACATACTAAAGCAAATGTAAAGCACTTGATTGTAATTTAATCATTACATCAAAAGTTAATTTGAAATGTACTGATCATTACAAATGTGTAATTACAATACATATTTATTACATAGACATTTCAATAGAAATTACATTAAAGTATATTTTAGTTTACATAAATGGTTGTCAGTATATTCAGCAGTACTTTAAATATATATAAAATATAACAGAAGTAATAATGTACTTAAGTGGGTGAAAAAAGCACTCTAAGGGTTAGCTAATTGTATTTAATATGAATTTAAACTAATACATTTTAATTTAATTGCAATTAACATGCTATTAAGTGTCTGTAAACACTGAATTCAGTTTGCAGTAAAGTATAATCTTACAGTATACATAGTATATTCGTTTTCATATATTCTTATATTTATTTAAGTTGAACTGCACATTTTAGAGTGGCCTTTTATTGTGGTCAGCCTAAGGCAGACCTGTGCAATAACCATGCTGTCTAATCAGCATCTTGATATGCCACACCTGTGAGGTGGATGGATTATCTCGGCAAAGGAGAAGTGCTCACTAACACAGATTTAGACAGATTTGTGAACAATATTTGAGAGAAATAGACCTTTTGTGTACATAGAAAAAGTCTTAGATCTTTGAGTTCAGCTCATGAAAAATGGGGGCAAAAACAAAAGTGTTGCATTTATCATTTTGTTCAGTGTAATTAATTCAGTAATTACTAGGTTGCAGACTCAGACTTGCTCTCACATGTTTAAACACTGGCTTTGACTGTACCAGCATGGCAGATGGCTTATGTATAACAGAGCAGCTGCTAATGCGGTAAGATTGTGTAAGATCTTTTGTGTGTAAGGCTGAAATTAACTGTACATTTAATTGCACAGACCATTGAATACAATTCACTAAACTATTGTCTGAACGTTTTAAAGCTGTCAGCTTCAGTTGATTCTAAACTTCTATCTATTCCCAAACATTTTCTGCACCATATAGATTCAGCCTCTCCGGCTTGTGTCTGTGAGGCTTGCGGAGGTTGTGTGTCATTTTAACATGCAGAGCAGCATTTCAGCTGGGCCCTTCAAGCTGGTTTGAGGTTCTGCTGCAGTGACTCTCGCAGACCAGTACTGTAGAGATTAGAAATTGCTCATCCTGAGGCTGCTTTCATCGTTGTTGATGTTTTTTTGTATGGTCCTGTTATTGTCACTGTATGTCTGAGCCTCGTCTTTCAATTTTCAATGCCCAGTTTTCCCCAGTGTTAACTATGCAAATGATAAATAAATGCCTCTTGACTCTTGACTCTTGACTCTAGAGCGTTTCTGTCCTGGTACAGCATCTGCAGCAGAAACCCAGACCGTGCTGAGTGTAAGCTGCAGGTATAGTGTTGCCTGTAGTTAGAGCGAAGAGACATGCAGACCGGTGCTTACTTAAACCCCCAGCCCGTCCCACCCAGGACTATAGCTGTCACCAGGATAGCCCCTGCGATCGACCCTATGATGAGATTGGTGGCACTAGGACCTGTTTGGGCAAGTGTGGGGAAAATGGGACATGAGCTTTGATTCGCTAGAACTCAAAATTTCTGTTCCAGCAAAACCAATAGTGTCTTTACAAGATCTAGCATTTTTATGCCACCTTTAAAAGTTTGAGATTTCCATTCTGGTATTCAGCCTGCATGTGAAAACGAAGTAATAAACTGTGTTCGATCATTTCACATGCAGGCAAAAAAATCTCATCTAAGCCAATATGAGATGGAAAAAGTTACCCGAAATGAGTTCTGGACTGCACCACATTGTTAAAGATGTTATCAATAAATAAAGATTAAATAGAGAGATTTAAAAAAAAAAAATCTACATTGATATACTCATTTGTTTTCATCCTCCCTTTGTGATTTTAGGAACTGTGTATTTACTATTATATTCGAAATAAAGTTTCACTGCAGTGGACAAAAAACAGTTAAAATTAACAATTATATTACCTTAGTGTTCAAAACTAAGAAATGTAAAAAGTTTTTTTTAAGAAATTAATACTTTATTCAGGAATGCTGTTTTAAATTGATCAAAAAATATGACAGTAAAGACATTGTTCACACCAAGGATGATAACTATAACTAGAAAACTGTAATAACCGTTCTAATTCGATTAGAATACTGAAGTCCACACATTTCCATGATAAAACAATATTGCTGAAATCAATCAATCCCTTGAGCATTTAAAGCGGCGGGAGACAAAACTGCGGCACACTCTTATAATAAACAGAGCATTGTCATCAATTGCGGACGCTAATATTGATATCATTATAGTTAGTGTTCTTGGTGTGAATGGGCCTTTACAAAAGATTTCTGTTGAGCTAGACTTCTATTGAGCTGTCTATTCATCAGAAAATCATGAAAAATGTATCATGCTTTACAGAAAAAAAAAATTAAGCAGGACAACTGCTTTCAACATTGATTTAAAATGTTTCATGAGCAGCAAATCAGCATACTTGGTCTCATGATGAAAATGTACCTCTTGGTAATTTTTCACAAGATGCGAAATACGTACCGCCATGTATGTTTCGCGACATGTTCGATGTGAAATGTCCACTGGGTGCCGCTAAAACAGAGTGTTTTTTTTTTTTTCCCCGGAGAGCATTGTCATCAATTGCGGACGCTAATATTGATATCATTATAGTTAGTGTTCTTGGTGTGAATGGGCCTTTACAAAAGATTTCTGTTGAGCTAGACTTCTATTGAGCTGTCTATTCATCAGAAAATCATGAAAAATGTATCATGCTTTACAGAAAAAAAAAATTAAGCAGGACAACTGCTTTCAACATTGATTTAAAATGTTTCATGAGCAGCAAATCAGCATACTTGGTCTCATGATGAAAATGTACCTCTTGGTAATTTTTCACAAGATGCGAAATACGTACCGCCATGTATGTTTCGCGACATGTTCGATGTGAGATGTCCACTGGGTGCCGCTAAAACAGAGTGTTTGTTTTTTTTTCCCCGGAACAGATGAACGTACCTATGGTACGTTTTATGTAATGTTGGTTTTATATGTGTCACCTCAGTTCTGACTTGAAATGTCCATTGAATGGCGCTGTAAGTCTAATGCTCCGAGACGTTTTAAAATAACGTACCATCTGCACTACACCTAAACCTACCTGATAGTATGAACTGAAACTGAAAGCAAGTGTGACGTAAAAACAAGCAAGCTTGTTACATCCGGAAAGTGAAACATATGGAGCTGTAATCATAACTGTGCACAAAAACGATTAAAAAAGCTAGCTGTTTTACTGCCTCTAGTGTTCATTTCTGTTGAAAACTGCAGTGATATGTAGCCTACTTATTGATATGTATTACCCAGAGGTACGTTTTCATCATGATACCAGGTTGCAACCAGCATATTAGAATGATTTCTGAAGGATCACGTGACCCTGAAGACGAGTAAAGCTGCTGAAAATTCAGCTTTGATCAAAGGAATAAATTGCATTTTAAAATATATTCAAATAGAAAACATTCATTTTAATTATATTCGTTTTTACTGTATTTGTGACCAATTACATGCAGCCTTGGTGAGCATAAGAGACTTCATTCAAAGACAAAAATCCTACCACCCAAAACTTCTGAACGTCTGAGCCTCATTCATGAAGCGTGTATATAATGAATGTGTGTGTAAATCATTCACAAAAATCCACTCAAAATATCAAGAGATTTCACCAATCTCTTCTGGTGTTTTATGAAGAAGCTCCACTCTCTCTGTATGTGTTTGTATCTGTGTTAGTGCCAGAGCACTAAAGCCACAAACCCTTGGGTCCCTCATCTTCAGCAGGGGGTGGTTCTTTTGGAGGGTCAGGCATACTGCAATCTGTCCCTGCCCACGTTGTGTCACATGTACATGCCGCCTCATTATTGCACACCTGTTTAAATTTAGAATGGCCAAAAAATACTTATCATAATAGCATAATGAGAAATGGATGCTCATACAGAATAAGCGAGTAAACCTCAATATGGCATGTATTCAGTGTGTGCAGACAGGTTTGTCTCACCCCGTGACTGGAACAGACGTGCTCGTTGGGTCCGGTGGGACAGGAGCTCAGGTTCAGATACTGAAGAGGGAGACACTTCCTGTCCAGACACATCATAGACGGACCGCATGGAGTTCCATCCTCGACATACCCGAGATCAGTCTGATCATCCAGGAAGACGTGACCACCGCTGAGAAAACAGTGTGTGTGTGTGTGTTCAGATCTGCCAGCATATCATACATGATAATCAGCATTACAAATTTGTCTCGGTGTGTCTCACCTGCAGTCGATCAGTCTGCCCTGATGGTTGAAATTTGTGGGAGTGACTTCTCCTTTTATAGTTCCAATCCGTGGGATTCGGCCAGTGTTAGTGCAAAGCAGATATCCACAAAATACATCACTGCAACAGAGACAGCACAAAAATCACAGTGACTCCAGAACATCCACAGGGGCCACAAGAGGGTCTGTGAAAAATTAGATTTAGGAATGAAATGTGACCCTGTCTGTGAAATCTTCGATTTCTGAAATATTATACAGAAGTATTTAAAGAAAATTCATTCTTTTAGATGCTCTCCTTGTATGTAATTGTTTTTTTTTATCTCATTGTAATGTCTCTGTAATGTCATTCGCTCTCTGTGTTTTTTTCTTTTTTTGTTTTGTTTTGTTTGTAACAGTATTTAAGCTACTATTAATGTGAATGTGGTCATTATTATTGGTTATTATTTTCTGGATTTGTATGGGATCCCTTGACTATGTTCCTTTTGTATTGTCTGTTTAAGCATTAATAAAAAATTTAAAAAACATTTTCAACACATTCACAATATTTGATAAGCCTACTGTTGGATTCGGCTTCCTAAAGACTGTCTAACCTGAACAACACATCAGTTGATTTTATTATAATGACAATGCTAGCTTTTACCAGAAAGAAAGAAATATGCATATAACAGTGTTAACAAATACCAAAAAAAAAAGATGTTACCAATCATGTTATCCATAATTGGTTTCAGTTTTCTATAGAACAAATAAATCAATTCAAAACACAAAGTAGATATGTTTAGTAACATAATATCTACACATTTTCAAAAGTAAAGTGTAACAACAAACATCTTAAATTATGCATGAAACCTGTCAAGAATGAATGTTAAAACATTTGGCGATGATCATAAATATTTAAGCTGTTTGTCTTTCTTCTGCACCTTTACTCATCAGTTCAACACAAAATATATGAAATGTACAGACTTATTGTTATTTAAAGGGTTAGTTCACCCAAAAATGAAAATTCTGTCATTAATTACTCACCCTCATGTCGTTCCAAACCCGTAAGACCTTCGTTCATCTTCAGAACACAAATTAAGAAAGTTAAGTTAGTAAGGACATCATTAAAATAGTCCATGTGACATCAGCGGTTCAACCATAATGTTATGAAGCAAATAAAGTCATTATTTTTGTTTTCTTTGCGCACAAAAAAGTATTCTCATAGCTTCCATGAAACCTGTCAAGAATGAATGTTAAAACATTTGGCGATGATCATAAATATTTAAGCTGTTTGTCTTTCTTCTGCACCTTTACTCATCAGTTCAACACAAAATATATGAAATGTACAGACTTATTGTTATTTAAAGGGTTAGTTCACCCAAAAATGAAAATTCTGTCATTAATTACTCACCCTCATGTCGTTCCAAACCCGTAAGACCTTCGTTCATCTTCAGAACACAAATTAAGAAAGTTAAGTTAGTAAGGACATCATTAAAATAGTCCATGTGACATCAGCGGTTCAACCATAATGTTATGAAGCGAATAAAGTCGTTATTTTTGTTTTCTTTGCGCACAAAAAAGTATTCTCATAGCTTCATAACATTACAGTCACATGGACTATTTTAATGATGCCCTTACTACCTTTCTAGACCTTGAACGTGGTAGTTTGTCTGTGCAGGGTCAGAAAGCTCTCGGATTTCATCAAAAATATCTTCATTTGTGTTCCGAAGATGAAGATGAATGAAGGTCTTCATGAGGATGAGTAATTAATGATTTTTGGGTGAACTATCCCTTTATATGAAAGTGAATAAATAAGCACCGTGATCTGTAGAGTTGTGTAGCATTAGCATCTGACAGTATCACTTCAAAGTCTAAGTCCCGTTTTATTACTAGTTGTACTTAGCAGTACACTGTAACTAACATGTCTGTCTGTTTTGTGCTTTGGGTCCCACTTTATATTAAGTGGCCTTAACTACTGTACTTACATCAAAAAATCAGTACAATGTACTTATTGTGTTCATATTGTATTGCAAAACACTTTTGCTGCTATTGAGGTGGGATGCGGGTAAGGTTAGGGACAGGTTTGGTGGTATGGGTAGGTTTAAGGGTGGGTTAAGGTGTAAGGGATGGGTCAACAGTGTAATTATAAATGTAATTACAGAAATTAATTACAGATGTAATTACATGCAGATATTTTTCAAATATAAGTACAATGTAAAAACATGTATGTACACAATAAGTGCATTGTACCAAATTATCAATTTAAATGTAAGTACATAGTAGTTAAGGCCACTTAATATAAAGTGGGACCGTGCTTTGCTCTCTGTGACCTAGTTTGCCTGAGTTCTGATTAGTTCATTTGGGTCCACCTGTGTTGTTAATTATCTCATCGGCTCCTTTGTTTGGTCCATGAGTTTTCCCTCTGTGTTTGTTGGTTCTCATTTATGGAAAAGCGTGTGTTATTCCCTGCATGTGAGTTCTTTTGTCTCGCTCTTACGTTCATCTGCATCTTCATGAGCTTATTCCTACACACACACCCAGGACATACACAGATTCCAAATGGAAATGTAGCACGTGTTACAAAGCTAAAGTTTTAAAAAGGTCTCAGACATTGGTTTAAGCTCTAATTTGTTATTTGTAACCATTTTAACCAGTAACCATAAACTTTAGAGTGTTTGCTCTACTGTTTATGCAGCAGAAATGAATTATACTTCATATAATGCAGTTTGAGGAGAGATGTGCCATTACTTGTCTAAGCAATCAGATGATTTTATCCTGGTAAAAAGGGTGAAAAATCCGCTAGAACATGAGACCTATCTAGATCCCAATATCATAGTGATTGGTGGGATTTTTTTTACTTGGGCCTGTAAGCAACCGCCCACAGTGCATTAGCATTGAAGTGTTGAATTTTGCATGCTTTGTAACTCACTGCTTACTGCACTGGATCCATTTGTCTCCGTCTTGACCGCAGTTGCCCTTCTCTGAGCCCTCTGTGTTCAGCTTCTCATAACAGAACTTCCCCGAACTCGCGGCCTCTGAATGAAAACAGACAAGTGGGAAACAAAGGTGAGACCTAAGGATATATACCAGGGATCCTCAAATCTGGCCCACGAGATCCACTTTCCTGCAGAGTTTAGCTCTAACCCTAATCAAACACACCTGAGCAAGCTCATCAGTGTCTTCAGGATCATTAGAAAATCACAGGTAGGTGACTTTGATCAGGGTTGGAGCTAAACTCTGCAGCGCATTGGCCCTCCAGGGCAAGATTTGAGGAACGCTGATATATACATTAGCTTATCTACCGGTAGTTTACAGTGTTCGCTTTATTTCTATTATAAGAGTGGGTGTGGCCATTTGTAACTTGAATGTGCGAGGCTTCAGGTGTCATTCGTTTCCAGTTATGTTAGATGCACAAAAATAGTCCTTTATGCCGTTTGATGCTGCAAAGTGGTGTTTGTTACATTCATGCTAATGAACAAAGTTTATTTAAATGCTTTTTAATTCTCTTGCAAAAGCTCCCCCAATAATCTTTGCTTTCTTCCCTCAAAACATTTGCATTCCCCTGAGAAACTGTACATGTCATGGGGATGAACGCAAAAGTTTTATGAGAATATGAGAAAATGCAAAGCACTGAAATAGATTTTTTCCTTCTATTTTTTTTGGCCATCACTTTTCCCCTTAGGGGCTCTGTAGAAAATACTTCACGTCTGTGTTGCAAAATAAGGTGTATATGCAGTTGATAGCGGAGCAGACTGCTGATTGGCTGTTAATGATCACAGGAAATGGTCACTCACTTGGTCCCCACACATATTTACACTGACTGTCTCTCGTCTTGCACTCTCCAGCATAGCAGCGACCCTGAAAAGACAGCACAATCTCACTAATTAATAGTGAAAAAGATATTGAGATATCAATTAGGCAAATTAATCAGCCAATTACTGGCCTTTTTAAGATTATCAATACTAATAACAGTGCCTGCTTGACCAAAATATGCTAACTATTAAGGGCTAATGTAATTTTCTGAGAACGTATTTAGTCTAATTATCAATTTTATACAGTAAACGAACACAGCTTGCTACTACGTTTTTTTTTACTACTCATAAATGCATTTAAATTTTATTAATTTACTTTTTCATCAATTTATTACATTTCTACCATTATTATTTCCAATGGAGTAATAGTAGAATAAGTCATCAAAGCGATTAAATTACACACATGGAAGCAGGTGAATTATGTATTGACCAAACAAACAAATAAATAAATAACCCTGTATAAAAACACTTTGTTTCTTATCATGTAATATCTTTAAAAAAGCTAATTTTGTACCAAAATTTTGATTTATGTACTCACATTTGGCTACAAAACTAATTTCTAGCATTCAAGCATAAGCGTTTACATCAGAAAGGCTTTAAGATCTTGAGAGGACTGGCCATCACTCACCCTGCTTTCCGCTGTAGATACTGTTCTGTCATTGGCCATTTACAAAAACCCTTATTACTAATAAATAATATCATCATCATCATGTTTCAGTGGACTAGCAGCTTTAATAGCTTCTATTATAATCAGTTTATGAATAATGAATTGATAGCTTGTAGATATGCATTAAATATGGCATTTTTCAGAGTAAACTGGCACTGTAGCGGTTATGTTTTTATGTGTGCGTACCTGGTTGAGGGAGCAGAAGTAACCATCCTGCTTGTGTAGATTGGGAGGGCACTGCACACACACACACACACACACACACACACATAAAGAAAGATTCAATAAAAACATGGATAATCAGACCATTATATGTGTTTGAAGTAGTAGTGCTGATACTGTATGCCACTGACCAGCCCTGAGTCTCCTGAGCACATCTCTGAAATATCACAGTCATTTACTGCATAGCGGCACGAGTAACCTCGAGGATAGAACTGAGACAGAGAGAGAAAGAGAGACAGCTCTCACATTCACCTTTTGATTTTTGAATAAAAACACACATGAAGTACATATTTTGAAAATATTTACATGTATTTACATGAATATATTTATATTATTTATATTATATATATATACATAAACATATTTAATATATAAACATAACATATTGCTCTTAAATATATACATGCATGTGTGTGTATTTATATATGCATAATAAATATACACAATGCACACACATATATTATGTAAACAAAAACTTTTATTTTGGATGCGATTAATCGTTTGACAGCACTACAACAAACATATTAAAAAATACATGATCAGACATGTATTCTCTCACCAGACATGTGTTATTGCAGCAGGGTCCGTCGCTGCAGTGCGCACCATTAGACAGAGAACACTTTTTACAGCACTCTTTAATGCACTCCTATAACACACACACACACACACACACACACACACACACACACAGCTGAATACTGTAGCCGTGTTTAATATTGATGTGTTAAACACAGAGGTTATTTGAGTGCTGTCTAGTGTATCACATGAACTCACTTCTCTTGGTCCACAGTCACACTCTTCTCCCACTTCCACATATCCATTTCCACACTCGGTGTCTTCAAACAGCTGCAGGACACGCATGCAAAAACAGGCATCACAGTCTTGATGAAGAGATTTGCAAACAGATGTGATATGAACTTTCAGCAGATGTACTCAGGTACAGCTAAAGGCATTTGGAAGGATGGAGTCACATAAAGGCATTATCTATGAACTAAATATGATTTCGAGAAATAGATATGGTTAAAAAAAAGGTACAAGAATATTCCACTATTAATTAAAATTCATATTCGGTTTAGGTCATATTTGGATTAGGCATGTAGACACATTAACCTTATTGCCATAAGTCAAGTCAAGTTAAGTCAAGTCAAGTTGAGCTTTATTGTCATTCTGCTGCATGGTGTTGTGGCCGACACGGACTGACTGAGGTCTTCCAGATAGAAAGTCCAGGATCCAATTACAGAGGGAATTGCTAAGGCCCAGCAGGTTTAGTTTATTGATGAGCTGTTGTGGGATTATTGTGTTGAATGCTGAGCTGAAGTCGATGAACAGCATTCTAACATAGGAGTCTTTATTTTCTAGGTGGGTAAGAGCCAGGTGGAGGGTGGAGGAAATTGCATCGTCTGTAGAGCGGTTTGGACGGTATGCAAACTGGAGCGGATCGAGTGTGTTGGGGAGGCTGGTTTTGATGTTGTGCATGACTAACCTCTCAAAGCACTTCATCATGATTGGAGTCAGTGCTATGGGACGGTAGTCGTTTAGACAGGACACAGGTGATTTCTTTGGTACCGGTATGATTGTTGTGGATTTGAGACATGTGGGGACGACTGCCTGGCTCAGCGAGGTGTTGAAGATATCTGTTAGGACATCTGTCAGCTGTGCAGCACAGTCTCTCAATACACGGCCAGGTATGTCGTCAGGACCCGCAGCCTTGCGTGGGTTAATCCTAGATAGGGTCTTCCTAATGTCAGCTGGGGACAGACAGAGCGCCTGGTCGTTGGGAGGTATGGGCAGTTTTTGTGCAGGTGTGTCATTCTGCATTTCAAACCGTGAATAAAAGTGGTTGAGTGTATCCGGGAGGGATGTGTCATTATCACAGGCCTGTGGCGGGGGCTTGTAGTCAGAGATGGTCTTAATGGCTTGCCACAGGCTCCGTGTGTCTCTGCTGTCTGTGAATTGATTGTTCAATCCTCAACCGGATTGAGCCAATATTACAGTTTAAAACAACTAAGAGTAACATGCATGTCCACTCTTATGAAAAATAAATGCACTTAATTGCTTACTTCTAGTGTACTTAAAGTAAAAAAATTAACTGTATTTGTAGATAATATAATATCAATGAAATAAAACGTCACTTAAGTGTATTTAAAGAGAGACACTTTCATGACTGTTTCTTAAAGGGGTCATATGATGCGATTTCAATTTTTCCTTTCTCTTTGGAGTGTTACAAGCTCTTGGTGCATA